AACCCATCTATACTAAAATGTGCATAACTCTTTCTATATGTATCAAAAAATTATGAAATTTTATTCTTTAAGGTTTTCTCAAAAATCAATCTAATAGCATCAAATAAATCTCACAAGATTCGGGTAGATTCTTCTCCCAAAATTCCAGTGAGAATGCATTTCGAAACAACCCTCACTATAATTGGTATAACTCTTAATGTATACGTCTAAATATTATACACTTTTATGCAGATCTACTCAACACATTGATGAACAACTTTCATTCTTTAAGGTTGATCCAAAAATTACCCTAAAGTCCTCAAATAGTTCACACAAAACTCGGGCAAAATATAGTCCTTAAAATACCGATTTTGCATATTTGATTTCTTTAATAATTAAACCATTAATCTTAAGCACAATAACTTTAATTTATCATAAATCACATATTTCAAGCATTAATTTCTCATGATGAAATGATAATTATACTTACTCTTAATATACATATATATAGAATTATTCTAATACACGTCGCGTTACGGATAAGGGTTTTTACGGAGGTTACATCCAGGCATATTAGAAGGAACTCCGACGGAGAGCAGAAAGAGGTGGAGTAGCGAGCATGAGTAGCAAATACAAATGATGCAGCAGCTCCTACATAATCACAAATATTATAATATTAAATACCGAATTAAATGTTAGACTAAATTGGGATATATATAAATAAAAAATTAAAAATATACCTTTACTCGTCTCGGATCGGTATCGATAAATGACCTATTCAACTTCTAGTGAGTCCTTACAAACGAGCACATAAGGATTTGGGACATGACCTAACTCATTAGCTTGAAAAAAGTTAAATAAATAATATGATTTATGATTATTATAAATAATAATTTATAACAAAATAGATAATAGTATTTCAATGCATGCATTGTGCTCAATCTATGATACGGATCCTCCCATATGTTTAGATGAGGTAGCATCAATGCCACTCATCTCGATCATATAGTTCTAAACCACTCGCTCAAAACAGAGTTGACACTCAAGTGTGGCCTATTATCGTTGTCATCCTTGCCACACCGACTCTTGGACAAACTGGATTTTTGTCTCTTCCTCTTCTAGTTGTTCAACTTGTTGGCATATCACCTACATGTTTGATGTTGTGATGCTATCTTAACTAGTTCTTCGATGGTTTCCTCCCATATAAAGTAATTCTATAAGAAAAAAATAAATATTAGTATATTTCATGTTAGATTTACTAAACTAATTTAATGATGATATAAATAAATAATTAATATATTACCTCAAACTCATTCTAAAAGAAGTCGATAGTAAAAGTCTTTGGTCTCCTATGACACCTGATTTTCTCATAGATCTAGAGAAGTCTAATTATGTTATAAAAATAGCAAGTGATTGTTAAGAGCACCGACTGGATGGATTCAAATATCAAACATGATAAATAAAACAACAATAAGCAAATTCATGAATAAAATAATATATGAATATATAAATAGTTATGAATCGTAAAGTAAAGACAATATAATTTATATTAGCATACATAAAATGTACCTCCAATTCACTATATGAATAGTCCGATTAGTATAAGTCCTAGAACTATCAGCTAGACCAGAATAAACCACCGAGGTGACCTCCGTTACTTGTCTCTATACGGGTGATGATCGTCTTATAGGGAAGACAATAAGGGCCGGTGCACCGATGCTAGCAATGGAGCGAAGTAGGCACTCGTTGTGAGGAGGGAAGAGGAGGCAAGGGAGATGATGTTAGTGATACTAAAGTGTTGGGCACATGTCCTAGGTTGAAAGCAAGACTATGGCTACGACTATGGCCACTGCCACTACCACCGACATGTCTATTTGATTTGGCTAAATGGAATGCTCTGTAATGACAGTTTGAACCACGAGTCATCAGCTATATAGTATTACATAATATAATTTAATAAATACAATTAATAAAACTTAAACATCTCTACTCTAATTATTGAAGACTCCACCTATACAAAAAATAATACATTCACAATACATAACACATGCACCACAATCCTATATAGGGATCCTCGGCTAGTAATATCAACATGCAAATCAATCTAAAGTATTATAAATTATCATATTAACTACAATTATACTTAAAATAGGCTTTAAATAGACATGACTTCATATGTTTTGGTTTTCAAAGATAAACTAGACATATAGGTAGAATTAGCAAAAATAGTCGAATTAGGGCTTAGATCGATTTCAAGTGCCATAATTTTCAAACAAGCAACATAAAATTAGTAAGTGAATATGCATAAATTGACAAAATTGATGAGAATGGTTTGAATCAAGGCTCATACTAACGTGACTTCAAATGTCATAATTTTCAACTAAAATGACAAACAAAAAAATTGGCATATTCAATCAAACATCATCAAACAACAATCAAACCATTAATTGACAAAACAAACGGACATAATCATGTATGTTTAATCAATCACAATCAATTAGTAATCAATCAAATTTGCACACAATTAGACTAAAACCTATATCGGATAATCTATTCAAATTAAAACTCAATTCCTATCCTCCAAGCTCCATCACAAAACAAACACCACCTTATTTCTCATCTCGTTTTCGAGAGTCTTTGACCCCTTGGATTCGATTCACTACGAAATATCTCAACACACTTCAATAATCATTAATAAAATAAATTTAATCTTAATTTCATCAATATCTATAATGAATTTGGAGATATTCTAAAAAAGACATGAATTAAAACTTGAGATTTAGATAAGTTACCTTGCGAGTCAAAATACTATAGCGATTGTTGTGATATCATCAAAATATGCAATGACCAAAATACCTTTTACTTTTTCAACTCTAAAAAAGATTGATTTATTTCAATCGACCAAGGGGAAGAGGTGTCGACCATTGACAAACATGGTGTCCCGATATGTGGTGGTGCGGCTATAATGGCTAGGGCGATCAACATGGTGAGTAGAGCGACTAGAACAATGGCTAGTATGGATGGAAGGGTGACTCGTGCGGTTGGAATGATGGTTGGCATAATGATCGGCACGATTGAAGTAGCTACAAGTGTGGCTCAAGTAGTGGTGATTCTTGTAGCTATCGTCAATGAGGGTTTGTTGTGGTGATCGAGAGGCACAACGATTATGGTTTGATAGGGACAATGACTATGGGAGAAAAGGAATTGCTGAGCTTGTAGGAGTGAGGGAGACAATAACGATAGTTTTAGTGGTGGATAGACGAAAAAGTTTTGGTGACGAAAAAGAACAAAATGGAGAAAGAATGAGGCTATTGCTAGATTTAGTTTTGTTTTTCTTATAGTGACAAATGCGATTTTTTCACTATTTGGATTTAATAAATTACATCATTTTCCCTCTTATTACCAAAATATGTTGCTATTATAAGTGTCCATCACTATTTGAATTTGCCAAAATTATGCCATGTTTCTTCTTATTGTCGATGAAATGATCCGTCATTGAATTTACCTTTTTTAGCAATGGATGTATTCGACATTATATTATGATAGAATAATAGGTTTAGCAACAAAATATTTTGTCACCAATAAGAGGAAAAATGACGCTAAAATTAGTGACATATGTAACGATTACATAAGCTAGTAAAGAAGCAATATGGTTGGAAGTGGTATTGGAGGAACTTGGGCACAAACAAGAGAAGATTCTTTTATTTTGTGATAGCCGAGTGCCTTGTATCTTGTAAGCAATCCAGCCTTTCATTCAAAGATAAAACACATACAAGTTCGAGTGTCGGTTTCTTCATGAGAAAGTGAAAGTAAGAAATGTGGATAAGCAAAAAATCATACCAAAGATAACCTAGTAGATTTAATGACAAAAACAATTAATACCGACAAGTTTATTTGAAGTCGATCCTCTTATGACTTGATGGAGACATAAGTAACATGCAAATGGCAAGGTAGAAAGAATGGTGTGAAGATCCGGTTGACTCTCAATCAAATCTTCAAGTGAGAGATTGTGGTACGGCTTCAAGCAAAAGCAAAAGAAACAAAAGAAAGAAGAAAAACAAATCATGTAATTGTGAAAGAAAGAAAAAAAAGTAGTGTGATTTTCTTAATGGTGGACAACTTATTCAAGCTGTCCATAACGTGTAACAAACACAGTTGGGAGGCCTATAAATTGGCCTCCATAGGTTAGTTCAATCCATCTCAAAATCTCACATAAATCTCATCAATAGTTAGTTCTCATATTTCTTGTAAAATACAGAGAAGGTCTGTCTTTCTTATTGTTTTTTAATAATGGAAACTCTTCTATCCTTGTCCATTGTTTTTACCTTGATTTGTTTTGGATTTTCCATATAAAATCTCCGTGTTCAGTTTCTCCTTTATTTTCTCAAATTTATTAGCTACAACCCTGCTTTAATCCGACCAATTTCACAATAAATACTTCACCGAGTTTCTCTTTGATCTATCAAATGCATCCTTAATGCATCCTTAATTTTGTTATAATAACTTGGTTCTTGGGTGATGCAAAATAAGTTTTGTTGCTAGACAAATGCATAAGGAGGTTAGTGACTTGATAATTTCTTGTAGTAATTTTGGCATTTTTAACGGCAAACCTTTTTTGTTGTAGTGTTATCCCATAACACATCACAACATAGTATATATTATTATTATTATTATTATTGCAAAACATAATGGAGTCATGAAGTAACTAAAGCACACGTATTATTTTTATTCATAGACGCAAACAAGATAAATAGAGCGGTGACCACCTTTATTGCATATACAAATATCCACACTATTATTAGAAGGCATTGCCCTTTCATGCACACACCTTAGTAGAAGGTAAAGCATATCAGGAGCCAGCCTTACTAAATGAATGAATATGGTAGCCAAACCGAAAGGTCCATACGTAATACATATTTATAAGTGTACCAGAACATGAAAGCATTACGCACCTTTAATCTTTTTATTTCTCATATATATATGAGAAAGGGAATGCATGCATGTTCTATTATTTCGGTTATCTATGCTTCGCCATCGGATTTAATGTAAGCATTAACCGCGATGCTGAGATGACGCAAAAGTTCGAAGGAAACATCAGAATTTGGTTTGTCTGGATCTATTTTCACATATTCAATAGTCCATTTTGCTGTGCTGTCAGCAGTAACCTCAAGAGTGACCGTGAAGTTCTTGTAAAATTGCATCATCTCTCCTTCCAGCACTTCGAAGGTGATGTTCTTGGAAACCTCGTCTATGGCTATAACTTTATACTTGATGGTCTCAGAAGTATCTGATAATAATTTCAAACAATGTTTAAGAAATTTTAATCTCAAATGAATCCATCCTACCTAGAATTCAAATAATCGCGTGTTGTATAGATCAGTACTATATTATTATTGCTTTTGCATCCTTAATTAATTACGTACGTACCAGTGGGATTGAAGAAAATCCACTTGCCGGAGTCAGTATTATTAACCACCTTTTTGTCATCGCTGGTTCTATGTAACTTGTTTGCTTCTTCCTTGAAGAATTTGAAAAAAGCATCAGTAGAGCATTCAAATGGTATTTCAAGGACTTCACTGCTAGTGTCGCCAATATCCTTTTCGACGCTACTGCTATACAACGTTATTTCCGCCGCCTTATTCACGTTGACGGGTAACGGTTTTTCGGGCAGAGTACCAAAGTTGACGTTAATGTCATGAATTACCACACTGGTGCTATTACCCATTCTAGAATGTAGCTAAGAAACTTGTGGAAACTAATTAGCTAGCTAACTGGTCAAGCTGCAATGCAGTGAAGAAATGTTGAGAGAGGCCTCCATGGCCTTATATAGAACAAAAGCCACAGCGCTAACCCTATGATCATTCTTCTTTTGTCAACTCATCGCCACCCACGTATACACATCCCTGTTCCCATTCCAAACAGCCAGCAAGGTGCATCAAAATAAATAAATAAATAACATTTTTCCATTATCTACTATGGTAGGTAGGAGTGGGACTTTTATGTTTCTTTTTGGAGGTTCATGGCATGTGATTTTTTAATTCAAAACATACATGTGAACGTGGACTAGTTTGTACGAAAGGGAATAGCATAAATAAGATAATGGTGGGAATGCAATCCACATAGAATTAATGAGGTTTTTCCAATTCGTCCATAAATACCTACATTTGTCTATTGGTAATGTAAGTGATGGCAAAGATAAAATGGAGATAATTATGAGAAAAGAGAAATTGTAAAGAATAACACTACTTAAGAGTTAAAAATGTAAAAAAATTAAGAAAAAGAGATTGAGTCAGATATTATTGATTATAAGCTGTCGGATAAAAGGAAATTGATGGAGGAGAATTTTATAGTGTTATAAAATAAATGGTAAAAATAATAGAATTTGAGAAAAAGATGATAGAAAAATAAATTCACTATGAAATAAAATAAATACAAAAATTAACAACTTCGAATAATTTTTCGAATCTCTACAAAACATTTACTCTCAAACTAATGAACAATCAAATTGATAGGCTTCAAAATTAAGAAGATAATTGAAAAGGACTAAGAACAATTAAAAAATATATAAATAATTGAATCAATTGCATTACCTTTTTTTATTTTTTCACATTAAATGGTGAATTGAATCACATTGAAAATTATAAATAGTGGGGATATGAAAAGAATATGAAAATTCATATGGACATTTATTATTTCATAACACTCTCCCTTGAATGTCCATTGTACAAGAAACATACCTCGTTAAAACTTTACTAAAAAAAAAAACCAATGAAAAAAAATTATAGTGAAAGAAAAAGGGTATTCTCTATACGTATTAATCCCTATGTTAGGCTCCTTCGTTGAAAACATTATTTAAGATCTCTAAGACAACGCATTCCAATCTTATGAATCATCTTCTTAAAAGTTGTGTTAGGTAATGCCTTAGTGAACAAATATATTATTTTGTTATTTGATCGAATTTGTTGAACATTAATATTACTATTTCGTTAAAGGTCATATATGAAAAATAATTTTGGTGATATATATTTCATTATGTCACATTTAATGCATCATTCCTTTAATTGACCTATGCAAGCACCATTATCTTCATAAAATATTATTAAAAATTTCTTGTTATTGGATAAACCTCATATCTCTCGAATATAATGGGTCATTAATCTTAACCAAACACATTCTAGACTTGCCTTATAAATTGCAAGTATTTCGAATGGTTTGAATATATACCGGATACGGTTTACTTCATAGGATGTCATGACATAGCTATATCACCATGTGTAAATACATAACCATTTGTGATCGAGGTTTGTATAAATCAAATAAACAATATGCATTTGAATGATTAATTAAACTTGATTTTGATTTATTTAAGTAAAATAAATATCACATCAATTTTTCTCAAAGATAACATAGGAAATATTTAATTCGACTTCAATGCCTCCCAATTGGAGCGAACTATATCTTACTAATAAATTTATAGAAAAACTATATTAGGTCGAGTATTATTAGTAAGATATATTAATGCACCAATTGTATTAAGATATGACACTTCAAGACTAAGTAGTTAATCGTTATCTTCTCATGGGTGGAAAGAGTCGTTTTGAATATCAAGAGAACAAACTATCATTGGGCTGGTAAATGGATGAGTTTTACATTGAATCATCATAGAACTTTTTCTATATAAGCTGATTAATGAATAAAAATCTCATTTTCTAAATGCTCGAACTGTAGATCGAGATAAAATTTTATTTTTCTAAGGTATTTCGTATCAAAATTTCTTTTTGGATAACTTATGGCATTTGAAATCTCTTCGAAGTCTCAATAATATTTAAATCATCAATATATACAACAATTATCACAAACCTCTTTTGTGATTTCTTTATAAAAATAAATGAACAAATATGGTCATTTTTATAAATTTTTTCAATAAATATTCATTGAGGCAATTATATGATATGTATATAGGTTAGTAATAAAAAGTGGAAAATGAAAATAAATATAAAAGTTTAGCATAAATTGGATTTGTAAAAACTAAAATAAATACTAAAATAATTCTTATAGAGGTTTCTATAATTTAATTGAATACTTTTTTCGAGAATGTATATTACAATCTTAAGGCATCTTAAGTCCTTCTAGAACTTTCATATAAATATCATTTTAAGTAAACAAATAAGCTATGATCATATCTATTAAATCAATGCACATGAAGGTTTTTCATGTATTTTGTCGGACTAATGAGATTACAAAATTTAATTGCATAAATTACAAGAGAATATATCTCATCATAGTCAATGTCAAGTTTTACGAAAACTCTTATGTTACAAGTTTGTATCTTGCAATCTCATCTTTCTTTGCTTTCGTATAAATACCCATTTGTATCTCATTGGTTTAATATCTTCATATGTTTTGACTATGGGTTAAAAGATAACTTATTTTTAAAGAGAATATAATTCCGCTTAAATTACTTTTTTCATTTAGGTCAATCATCTTTATGTTGACATTCTTCAATAGATTTAGAATCGGTATTTTCACTCTAAATATTATTTGTAATATTATATGCAAAAATATTATCAATAAATATTTCTTTTTTGTCCTATTTTCTCCCTATATTGACATAATTTATAAAAGTCTCTTATTTTTTAAAAGCATTTGGACTTCTTCTAAAAGCCTAATATCAAAAATATCTTAGACCGTTTTATGAATATTTACATCTTTTCTATTTTTAACTTGATTATTGCCTTTTTTTTGGGATTTTTGTCTTTAGAATCGATCAGTCTTCCATACTTTAGGCTTGCTTTAGATTCATTTGCTATAACGTTAATAGATTATCCTTTTGGGATACTTCTAATACGAGCATTTTTAGTAGGGACATGTATTTTATCTAAAAACATTTTATATGAGAATGCATCCGATAGTTGGTTTGTAAGATTTTGTCAATGAATTATCTTCTAAACTTATAGTTCATATTATTTTGTTGATTCTCTCAAATATAAGTTAGATCATTTGAAAAAAATACAAAGATGTTCTAATAAAAGTACTTTCATTCATAAAGGTGTCCAAGTTGATCGATCAAAAGTCAAAATATTACATTCAAATGCTATGATGCAATTTTCTCAAGAAGGTTGTAGGCCAAACTGGCAAAATGTGTTTGGATCATGCAACATTTATATAAAAAATGATTTTTGATGCTATTGAAGATAAATGGTCAAATGATATGTCTACTTTGGATAATGGAATAGGTTAAACGGAAAGTATTTTGAAAAAAAAATTGATTCTAAATGATAATTTTGCCTAAGAATATCTTGATCCTATTTATTTTTTCCTTGAGTAAATTGATGAAGAAGCATGACTTGATGTTATACATAATGACAAACAACACACCAATTGATCATTCTTTTTTTTCCCCTCAATCATTCTTCTTCTTTTTCTTTTTCTTTTTCTTTTGATATTAGAATTCAAGATCATAAGCAAACTACTTTTTATTAGAAAATGGCTTGTAAAAGTACGCAACGTAGGCTATGGCTTGAGCTTATGAAAGAAATAGTTTCATAAAGACTAAAAAATGTTTAAGGGCTCGATGACATAGGATCACTTATTGTCCATAGAAATCTTTTTAGGCTACACTTCTTGGACTTTGTCATTTTAGGCGTTAGTTGGGCTATTGTGTCATCTTGATATCCATGAAAATTTTTCCTTTTTCGGCTTACTTGTAGTGACTTTATCATTTTAACTATTTAATTTATTTCCTAACCTCAACTCTTATTGTTTTTTTGTCTAGATTTTGACTCCCATCTTGACTTCGATTTGGTATTAAGGACATCTTCTTCTTTTGTTTATTTTCTTTTTGGTATTCATCTTTTTTTCTTCATATTCTCTTTTGTTTCTTTTTTAGAATCATTGATTGATGGGGTTTCTTTTGATAAATTTTTTTTATAGTTTCATCAACTATTTATGGATTTTGTATTTGCCTCTTAGTGCGAGGGGTGATCCTAGTCTAGGTTGTCATGAAAAGAATCAAGGCTCAAAATGAAATGATAAGGGATAAAACCTTTACAAGATATTTGAAAAATGATCTTTATTTATCTCAAAGATTAATTTACCTAGGTTGATAAATGCTAATCTCTTTAAAAAATAATGACTAGTTTGGAAAATCCTTAGGTTAACTCTGAAAGAAGATATGATGAATGCAATTTGAGATCAAGACTTGAAAATATATTGTTAATCATTATTTAAGATGCCAATCATTTCGTCTTTCAGTTTTAGACTTCATGATGTTTTCTTAGGCAAAAATTTCCTTCAAGTTTTAATTTCTCTTAGTTAAAGATTATCTTTGGTTTTGGTTTTGATAAAATGAGGGATTGCCCCTTTACTTTTTGCTCAAAAAGATTATTAAAATTGGAGGATGTGCCTTTGGTCGTAATGAATTGAAAAATTACCTCTAGTATCTAACTATCATACTTTGAGATTTGATCAATCTTTTGAATATTTTTGAATGAATTTGCCATTTTATGTTCTCGATAGAGGAAAATATAATGGAAAATAATACTTTTAAATAAACATCTCTTGATTTTAGATAAGACAATATGATATTACAACAAAAAGTAGAAGCGTTCTTTCATTCAAAGATATGACTCAATTCATGCATAATTAAAATATTCATGAAAATAGTATTCAAAATCCGATAAGAATGAAAAAAAACCAAACTTGCAATTGTCAACATACATCTTC